AGCACACAATGCCCTGCATAGTGTGCGTGAAGTTTTTGTATCGTGGCAAAAAGACGTCTTCCGGCTAGCTCGCCGTACCACTTCTGATGATGCCCAATGTTTACTGGCTGCTGTAGCACATTGAGTCGGGGCAGTAAGCGAGATCTGCCAACAAGAACTTCGCTTCTCTTTCCCGAGTTGTTGACTTAGAAATGAACTCTATCGTGTATCATTTTGTTCTTATTTACTACTTGCCCAAACTCATCCTCGTGAAAATGTTATGGAGTCACTAACTGAAAGTGTATTTCATAGCTCTGATTTTTTGTTGTTGTGTCAGTTTGGAGGAAGGTATAATAAAATAACAGTAGTATGGAAATAGGGAAGAATCTGTTACTTAGCGATATAAACATGTGAAGAATTTTAGATTTCTTGGCTGTTATTCTATAGCCCAGTTAGAGAAGTCTGATGGAAACTGTGTGGTCAAGGTTAAAGAATAGTGCTGAGCGGGCTATAACCATGGGAACCAATGCTTCTAGGTCTTCCTCAAATATGTTAAGAAAACATTCCATTCCGACCAGTTACAGCGAGCTTCCTCTTGAGGCATTTTGCTGGGTGTAACAGATTACTAAAATGATAAGACAAAGGCATGGCAAAATAAACTTTAAATTTGCTTGATAAGTTTTCCAAAGTGTCTCTCCAGCAAAGCTCCGACTAAATGGCTTGACTGTTTTGATAGGATTTTTTGAAAGTGAATTCACCTACCTTCACCCCTCTGCATGGTTTGGTGGACTCTGTTGATGCTTGACGCCTGCTTTTTAGATGCCTGTCTATGCACGGCTCCTGCATGTGTTTTGGGCAAAGTAGCCTGTGGCACAGTAAAGGCAGAGCTTTGAGAAGGAACAGGATCTGGTGGCAGGTCGTGTAGGTTCGCGTTGCTCAAGCTGGTGGAGTTGGAAGTCAGAGGGCCCTAAAACATGAACACAAGGTGAACTGTCCAGGTATCCTCTCCTCCCTGCTGTGTTTTGCTGTTTGTGCTTTTTCGGGACAGTACTTGTCTGTCTGATTGAAAACTCAGCTTGGAAAGTGTCATGCGGCAATATGATACATGGAAATACAACCTACTCATTCAGAATAAAATAATCTTGTGAGTGTAGGCTCTTGCTCAATATAGTTCTGCAAATAGGGCTTATTTGTATCTGTAATATAACTGCTGTCTTAGTCCTGGGTAATGTTTATAACAAATCTGTTTTCTTCTTAAAGATATTTTTTTTTTAGGGGCATTTTGGATAGTACTCTCACTGGTTCCCTCACTACCCAGGAATAAGCTTTCCTAATACAGATGAACAGCATGAACAGTATCTACAAACCTGATAAAGAGATCAGAAATGTCTTGGAAGAGTTTGGTTTTGTTTGTTTGTTTGTTTTTGTCTTGTTCTTGTGTTTCTCCCCATAGGTGGTGAGCCCTGTCCTGAATAGCAGTGGTCCTTAGGGGTATGATTGCCAAAGCCAGGCTGCTGTAATGATGTTCTGTTATGCTGGAAAAGAAATCCACAGAATGCTGTCCCTAATACTAAGCAGATTAACTGTGTGTAAATGTTGCAATTGAAATTAACTGGCATGCCAGCTACTGCATCACACAGTTAATGCAGGAAATCCTCTTGGCTTAATTGTATGCTTACACGCTGTTTCTTGGTAGGTGCTTAAGTCATTATTTAGAATGGATAAACAAAATAGGATTATTTTTTTTTTGGGGGGGGGAACAGCTAACCCTTTTCAAGTTTTGGCTAGCCTGCTGTGTTAGAGACTTGATGCTTTGAGTGCTTTCAGAAAGAAGGCATAGACAGTTTTCCTTAATGGTTTGTCTAAATCAGGAGTTGAAGATGAGGTCTCTCCGTTGTGACAGCGGTGACTGAATTTGCAGTATAGGACAGACTTAGGTGCTTTGCTCTGAGCCAGGCGTGGTGAAAGGGCCTTGGGCTTCGTGTGCTGTGCGCTCCGACAAGCATTGCAACTTTGAGTCTGAAAGCTTTGCTGTTTCAGACTTGACTTGATAAATAAACAGAAAGACCCCAATGAAAACTTCTGGCGATGCTTTTATGTACTCTGTGTTCTTTTTCCTCTGCTATTTTATATATAACCTGCTGACATATGATCACTCTGGAGAATAGTACTTCTCTTGTTTATCTGTATGTGATATATGAACTTCAACCACGTTATTTGCTTCTCTTTTTCCACTTGTTTTTTAAATTCCTCTGACTGTAGAGAAATAGTGTATTTTTAACAAGATTTTTTCACTTGCTAAGTTGGTTGTAGATTCGATCTATGCAATCTGTAAGTGTCCTTATTTAATTAGAGGTTTATTTTTTAATCTGCATGCATGACGTTGTAGAGAATATATCGGGTTAAGCCCAACTTCTTATGGGTTAGGGTTTCAGCTTGTGACCAAACAACTGTAATTGAACAAACTGTGGAGCATGGCTTCAGCCTGAAGCAACTGCGAAATAATGTAGTTTGGGCTGTGGTTGACAGTTTGCTGCTCCCAAGAAGGGAAGATGTAATTCCTCCTCGTGCTTTACCTGTTCTCTTTCTCCCCACGGCTTCGCTGCTCCCGGGGAGGTGGTTCCACCATCTGTCTTGGGTTTGCGCTGGTGCTGAACCCTTGCAGAGCTTGTTTCTGTTTATTAACCTGACAGAAAACTCTCCTCTCTTTCGTGCCGGGGCTGGTTCCTGCCAGGTTAGTGGGATTGTGGGATTCACTCACAAACAGGTCTGTCCAGTGCCAGAGCTGGTGTGAGGTGGAAAAGGGAGCACTTTTAGTACTCGGCTGTTCAGCAAACTCCTCGAGCCTCCCGAGACCGCCGCGTAGCCTCCTCACGCAATGCCCAGTACCTCACCTTTGCAATGGACTGAGTGTTTGCAGAGATGCTTGTTGTGGCCCAGATGGAGTGACTGAACTTGTTAAACCACAAACTCATTTATACATCTGATTTGGTGTGGTTCATGTTAATTAGAGCAGGAAGCATGAGAACATTAGTGTTATGCTGCTGAAAAGATAAGCTTCTGTGTGTGCTCTTGTTCATGTTTAAGAACAGTCTATTTACTTAGCTCCAATATTTTCATAAGGATATCAGTGAACTTTCACTTCTGAATGTGATTGGTACACTTTAAGCTGTTGAAGTGTTGTCTCATTCCCTAACTGTTTTTAATATTGTTACATGCTGGGATTTGCTGCCTTCCCAGTACAGCTGGTGGAACCCTGTGTGCATGCACATACTCTGGCCCAACGCAGCTGAGGTCCGGTGGCTTAGTCTAAGCTGTTGATGGAGATAGATTTAGCTGATGCTGATATCTGTCCTAAAGCAATTACTTTTATTCAGTTCCACAAATCCAGGAGGTGGTAACAGTTTAAGCCACCACAACTGTTTGCAAAGTGAGTTTGTTTCAACATTGATTTAGATTAAACCACACAAATGCACTGTTGCCACTTCACACAGATTCCTTAGACATGACGAAAAGTAGCTGGGTCTGCTGGTGTTTTACTACAAGAGGAGATAATCCGGCACTTTGTTAGTGCTGTGGGAAGTCACCCTGTATTTAACTGCTTACCCTTTTTTGCCCCTCTATGGGATATGGCCTGGCTGGCCTCCCTGGGGCTCTTCTGACAGGAGGAGACTGCTGAGGGCTGAGATGAGTTAGCGGCGTATGTAAAGCAAAGACGGCATGAAAAAGCTTCTCCCTTGTACCCCCTGTGTTGTCTGGCACTTCAATTATTTCAGTTAGAGTGAAGAAGTTTTTGTGGGTGGAGAGTGATCTTGTAGGTAGCCAGAACCAATCCCACAGACGACTTGGATACCAAGAAAGAGACAATGTACTGGAGTTTTATTTTGGGACTGCTTGACCTGGTTTCAGGCAAGATTTATCCTGTTTTTAGCATTTTGGATTTGAGATGTATCAAAATGGAAGCAAGAAGGCTGAAATGAGTTTGGGAAAAATTGCCTGAGAAGAAATACACCCCTTTTTTTTTTTTTTTTTTTTTATTTTTTATTGGCTAAACACCGGTCTGCAGAAAGCCTGCAATGTGGTCTTCAGAACAAAATTAGCTCTTCTCTCTCAAACTGTTAGAGATTCCTCCGATTCCTTTGACAAATTAGGGTATCGGCCTACGAACAAGCTATTAAACCATGAAGGAAGTTGTGACCGTGCATTGCGCTGTGCACAGTCAGTACCTGTTAGTATGTTCATCGTGCTGGGTCTGTATTCTCTTAACCTGTGGTGAACAGGAGGTGGCTTGTTGAGAGAGGGACAGGCTCCCCTACGCCTACCACTGAGGAAGACCAGGCACGTGGCTTATGCCATGGCAGCTTTTTCATCTAACCGTAGCTTTAGTTTAATTGAACATGTTATGTGAGCTTAACCAAAAGAAAATGTTTCATGTCACCTCTTTCTGCCAGCTGGGTAAGGAGAATGACTTACGACATGTTCGAACTTTCCTTACCGCTAACAGTGATGCTTTTTTTTACTTTGAGGGCGAATGCAAAGTCGTGGTAGCAGAGCCCAGCGAGTTGGTTCCAGTGGTTTAAGTCAGCATGTTCTTGTTATAGAAAATGGAGAGCCAGTGGGATAAATTTTAAATCCTGCAGATGTTTAATGACAGGTTTCAGCAAACTTACGAACTCCTCAGCTATGTAGCACAATACCAGAGCCAGACAGCATGGACAGTATGTTTCAAAGAAATATTTAGAAGTTGGCAGTGGAAGCTAAACTTTGAAAAACATGAAGTAATTCTTGAAAGGGTTCAGATTTGTTAAGTATCATGTGAACAGCCACCTATTTCTTGAAGCTAATGTTAGTATGCCTTGGTAGGGGAAATAATGTGTAGATGTTGACTCACACGTGAAAGAGGGAAGCTTTTGCATGCAGATAGAGGGAAGTACTGTTGCAGGTCTAGTATCGTGTTCTGTTCAATGCACGTTTCACCTTTTTATCTGAGTCTTAAAACCTTTTGGATTTTTCTCTTTCAGAATCGTAATGAAATAAAAAATGGAGCGATCCTTCGATTAACAACATCTCCAGTGAGTTACTGTTCTGTTCTTCTCTCCCTCCAAAGTGAAGATTTTATTAGTAAATAATTGTGAACTGGTATATGTGTTTTTAAGCTTTACCCACACTGTATCTCGCAATCCTCCTGCGAAGGAGGATGATGGTGTAGTCACAAGGTGACTGTATGTAGTGTTCTCTTTTTTTACATTACGGGGGCAGAGGTGGTATCTCTGAGTGACACTTGGTGATAGGGTTGCCACAACTGGGTGTTTTTTGGCTCTTACTTCTTTCCCACTGGGAACAGCTTTCATGTCCAAGATACCTCTGCTTCCCTGCTGACATTGCAGCCTTACTGAAGTTGCTCCCTTTCTGCCCCCGAGCTCAGAGCCAAGAGAAAGGGCTGGGCGTTGAATCTGAGAGCTCTGTTGGGCAGCTCAGGTCAGAGCTTTCCTGCTGTCTGGGTTTCTATTGAGTGAGCAGCAACTGTAATGTTGAGATTTTTCTGTTTTCGGTTTCTTTTTTTTTTTTTTTTTTTCAACATCGCCTCTTTGCCAGCTCTTCAAAAAGCACGGCAGAGTTGCTGGTTGCCATGTAATGTGAGTTGAGCAGTACTGTTGCCACGTGCTGAAAGCCACTGTTAGTCCCAGAAGATGTATGTCTAAGGCAGCAACCATCCTATTTCCTTGATGACAAATGTAGTGTGCCATTAAAATGGTGTACTTCTTCATGGTAGTGTTCTAGCTGCTGCAGATCCAAAGCATTCTGATGGTCAAACTCTGCCACCCTGTACTCCAGCTCATTTGAACAGGTAAGATGGAGCTGTGGTGGTTTAACTTTTGGCTTCTGTTGAACCTGTTAAGAGTGCGGTCAGTTACTGCCTTAAAATATGAAAACTTCTAGATGGAAGCCACACAGAGATTATAGATATGTTTTTGGATGGATTGCTTTTCAGCTAGTAGGGCCTAGGCTCAAAGTACAGAAATAGAGAAGCATATTTTGTTACTAAATTCCCAAGTTCTCCAGGTATTGTGTGTGTTTCCACTCCTCCCCAACCTACTTAACGTGATGATGGCTTCTATTGGACTTCCAAGGTGACTGAATTTATATGCAGGTTTGTGTATAAGTGGAAATCAAAGAAGCCAATATGGAAACGTATACATACCTCAAGTTTTTTAATAAGTGACCAATATTAATCTACAGGAGTGTAGCTTCTTAACTGAAAGCACTTCTAAGCAGCAGCCAACTGGGCAAAGACAAGATATTTCCATTATCCTTCATCATCTTTTTCAGCGGTTGTTATATACAGAGCTTTATAGTCATAAGAATAAACAACAGTTTAAGACCATGTCTCTGTCAGAGTCTATGTGACTCCAGAGCCTCTTGCCATTTGTCACCAGAACAACCTTGTATGTGGGGAAACCACTTGCTGGTGGAGTAAACCCCATTTGGTGGAACTTCCTCAGAAAGAGACAGGCCCAACACCAGCTCCTCCTAACCTTTGGGACTTCTTAAGACCAAGTATCTGCTCCACGGAAACAGGGCTATCTACTGCCCAGACTTGGGATCTCATGAAATCAAAACAACATCTGTGGTTCATCAAGAACTGATGTGGTCCAAACACACTGCATCATTCTTTTCTGTAACCACAGCACGGAGCGACGACATGAGATGACTCACGGGATCCTTCCCTCTCTCAAAATCCTCAACCAGTTGCACCATGCAAAACTGAAGAGGGGTTGTGCTGCGACTGATCTGTGGAAATGGCTGGCTGTCTGTCTGCATGGTCACTTGTGCAATTGCAAACATGACCTACAAACACAAAAGACAAATTTTGGATTTGCAACAATTTCTGCTAATGCCTATGGACAGGAAAGTGGGGCTTTGCATAAGACTCTCTTCTGCTTGTTCTCTTTCTTTGGTGATTTGCCTTAGAGTCAGTCAACCAAGACAGGGGCCCTTAGGATTCTGAGGTGTTTATTAACCTGTTGCCTGCCAAGTTATGGCCACTCTGGCAGTGGCCTGCAGTTAGGAGTGACTCGGCCGTCCTGTTATAAGATAGAAGGCCAGTCTACTTTCTGGTCTTCAGTATTGATATTTATCCCTTAACCAGTGCTTATTTTCATGTTTTCTGACTTTTTTTTAAAGAAGGGTTTTTTAACTTTTTCCCAGAATCAGAGAGGTAGCTTGGAAGGAGGTTTCGAAGGACTGGATTGGGTTTTGTCAGATTAGAGAGTATCTGTATTCTTTAAATAGACATAAAATGAAGTTCTGTGTGTTCCCACCCTACAATAGTATCTTTACTTTTAAGGTACTGTTGAAGTGGTCATCATAGAGGGTACCTAAAATAGATAAGATTAAAGGCTTCCAAGCTGTGGTTTTTAGACTGGTGACCCATACAACGCTTGTCGTTTACCCTGAAAAGCTAACAGGCCATCTGTTATGAGAGCCGCAGTAGTTGGAGGAGATAATGTGAAGAACAGGCTGCATGATATACTCCTGCAAAAAGGGAAAGATGCTTTCCTAGCTGCTAGAGCTGGGTGGGAAATGTTTTTCTCATCCTGTGAAAATACTAAGATTGTGAAGGGTTTTTTTCCCCCCTTTTTTTCCTCTATCCTACATCAGTATAAAGCTGAAACTATCTCCCCCTTCCCCCAGAAAAAGAAAGTCATACCAAAAATGCTTTTTGAAGAGGTGGAGGAGTTAAAAAAGGAGGAGAGGAAGAGTGAGAGAAATTAAGAGGAGCCACGTACAGATTATGCAGTGTCTGGGATGTGTCCATGTAGTTCCAGAGAGGCCCGAGCTGCCTACTTTTCTGGCTCTTGTGGGCAAAAAAAAAATATCTGTCCTGAACTTCACAAGCTTTTTGAGGAAACTTTTTTTCCTTGAAGAGTTGAGAAGAATCGTTTTGACCAGTTCTGAAGGCTGCATGAACTTAAAATGCTTATGTAGTTCTTAATTTTCATGCCACTTATTACCATGACAGCCAGGAGTCTGGCTATACCCAGTCACAGTTGCATGCCGTGAGTCATTGAAAATTGGGTGAGAAGGATGAGATACGATCTTTTTGAGTTCTGTTTTCATTAGCCTCAAATTGTGTAGTGCTCATGTACCTAGAACAGGTACTATTAAAGATTAAAAGGAGGGAGGGGAAGAAAGGTAGTTTTATGTAGAAGTAGTGAAACAGCATTTTTGGCTTGGCTTTCTTAAAATTAGGATTTGAAATCTAACTCTCCGAATCTAGGTGTTAAATACTTTCTCTTTTTTAATCTCAAATTTAGATTAATTTTTTGTGTGTATATAGGGACCTTTTTCTGAAAATCATTGTAAATATTGCAAGGGCAAAACTGCCGTTATGGTGTGCAGCTAAATCCATTATAAATGCTTGTCTGCAGAGATTTAGAATGTGTCTATTTTAAACTTCTTTGAGTTAAAACTTTGCAAACACCAACCGATAGGCCTGGTGGGAATTTGAACTGCCTCTTTGTTTCCGTAGGTCTGTTTGCTAAGTTTGTGCGATTCTCTGAAAGGCTGTTTTTTCTAAACAATGCTATTTTTTTCCTCTATAAACCACTCGCCACACAGACACTCTGTTTCCTAGGTAACTAGAGTACAGATTGAATTTCTTTCATATTATCTTTGCTCCTGTATCATCTTTCTTATTTATTTTTAACCTCTCCTATCATTTTCTTAACAATGCTGTGTGCTATTGTGTGTTTTTGCAGTTTTCCAAGACCTGTTTTCCCCCTTTGTCCATTTGCATTTCTGAAGGGACTCATCAAAAGTTTCTTATGCAACATTTCTTTGTATTTGAACGTATGTGACAGTTGAAATGCCGGATTGCTATTGTCTGTTTTGTGATACCCCCATTCCGGTGGATGGTGGGTAGGTGTATAAATAAATGGGCTGTAATTGCTCCCAAGTACGAGTCTGTTCCGAAAGGACAGTTGTGTCCTGCAGTGCAGCAGGCAGAGTCCAACCTTTCAGTGTGCGCGACTGCAGGATTCCTTCAATGAGACCCTGCAAATCCTTGTTCAAATGACTAATCGTTTTGAAAGGATGCTAAAATACTGGGAAAATTAAACTGAAGGAACTGACCCCTCTTTTTTAGTTTAATGGTTTTCAAACAGAAGCGATTATTTGAGCACTTGCTGTTTATTTGAAAGTAGCTCCTTGGGCACTTAAAAAACATGCCTTGCTTGTGAACTCTATACCTTAAACCCCGAGTCACTGGGTAGCCTTTTCTTGTGTGGTATTTATGGTGCCTGATCATTTGCTTTTGTTGCGTGTTTTTCTTTGATCCCCTGGTTGGAGATTAGTTGAGTTCTCAAACCTGTAAATTGTTTGTAGGCAGCTGTATTAGCATTTCTAGCATGAGCAATCATGTAAATAGGGGTGTTCATTATTAGTCGTCATAGTGTTTTCCCCAAATGGTTTTACAGCTGTGAGCAACGTGATTTTTTATTTATATGTGATCTACACAGACATGAAGTGTGGAGGTTTTTTTTAAACCATTTCTACTTATACACCTGAATCCTTCATCTTTGAGTAGAAATTTGAGGATCTGTTCTATAATCTTTGGTCTACAATTGCTTCAATATGTGCCCAACTGTCTTAAAGTTCTTGAAGTTCAGTAAAAGCATTAAATATTTTCAGGTCAAGCCTGTGAGTGTGATTGTGTTTATCATGTAATGGTGAATTAGTTGTTATTGAACCTTATACCAGGAGCACTGACCATGGAAGTCAATGAGCCACTTGTACTATGGGCGGACAAATGTAAAAAAGGAAGATTTGGGAGGTGGAGTTAGTTTTTGTCTGTTTATAGATAAAGATTTAATCTCATGTTTTCAGGTTTCCAAAGGCATATTTTGAATAGTAAGCAAAAGGATTTTCTCAAATGCAGAAAGAGAAAAAATTACTTCTCAGACATTCATAAGTGGCTACTGATTGCATAAACTTATTTTAGGCGTATTTGCATAATACATATGACTATGCATCTGTAATGCTTTTATCATTGATTTAGTATGCGACTCTAGATGTGACCATTTCTCTGTTTGTGCTGCCTTAATTGTGTATAGTGATTGCGTAGGTCTGCTCTGTGTATTACATTTGTACAGGGCGTTAGAGGTAGAAATTGTGCTTGAGTATTAATGTAAAAATGTTAACAATGAATGTCTTTACCAATTAAAATGGAATCTCCTTGCTTACCTGGCATCAGACGCTAGTCAGCCTCGGTGGGTCTGTTGGATCTGGGTTGCGTATAATGATGATCATGTAACGTATCCACTCCTCCATTGCTTTCTGATGCATATGCAGTTGTAGGTGGTGGCAGTAACAGGGCAGGGAAAGGCAGGAGTTTAAACCGCCATGGTGTTTCAACACTGAGTGATTTAAATTAAACCACAGAAACACACCTGTTTGATTAGTAGAGAAATGTATTTGGTGGTTACTGTTAGTCTGTATGCCCTTTTTGTAGCAGAATGTTGAATAATGTGACTAACTTATCTACAGGGAAGACCAAAAATACTTGTAGTTTATTTCATTTGCTTTTTGTAAAGGATAAAGAGGAAAACTGATTACGTAATGGCAAAACGGCAATTTAAATCAATGGTCCAGGTTTCTTCCATAGCACATTAATGTTTGATAGCGGCTGCATTTGGAATCTGTGTCCTTCCTCCTGTCCTTGCTTGCTGTATTTTGTATTCTGTACAGAAACCCTGCGTACATCTGGGTAATAAGTTGCTTTCAAAGTTTGCTCAAAGTATTTGGTGGCAAAGAAATGATAATTTGATCAGTGGAATCCCTTGTTAGGATGATCTTGGGATTCCTAACCTCCAAATGGCTATTTGAGTCTCTAAGCAAGTCACAGCTTGGATTTAGGTCATTAGTTTTCTTCTTAAACTGACAATCTCATCAAGCCGCTCCTTTTAAGCACTGCTACTCCCTGAGGGCAACCTTTCTGGCCGTCCTTGGAGCAAGTCTAAGACTTGCTTAAGACTAGACATGCAGCTTATGCCTCTTGACAGCCTTTTGAAATGTTGGGGCTTCAAATGCACACGTTCTACAAGCCTTCCTGTCTTCCTTCCTTTCGAAACAGGAGAGCAGTTAATGCTGTCTTTCATTTACTTGAACAGCCGTGTTTCTGTTCATTCCCTTATAACGGTTCTCAGTTGGGCAGGTTTTATATATTTATTTATTCTTACCGGAATGATATTTCAGTAAGAGCAGAGACATGGCAGCTAGCTCTGCTGTTGCTTTAACGAACTGTGCTCTCTGTCCGTCCGCTGATGGATTGTAAATAATTAAAATAGCTCCCTGGTAAGCACTCAGAGCATATTTCATCTGGGTTTCATTTTTTAATGCAGTCATAAGTGAGCTGTACCTTCCATAAGCGTGTATGAGTGCTATGGCAACAAGAACTAGGAGGCTTGTGAGAACGGCCTGGTATTCACTGAAGCAATATTTTCACCCATCAGGCACTTGTGATGACAACAGCCAACATTACTTTTGGCCATGTTTCCAGTGAAACACGTACCAACACTCTTGCTGAGACGAGTATTTCTTTACCACTTCAATCAAGATCTGCTCTGCCATTATCAGTTCTTTTCTCTTCCGA